AAAGCCCCAGATTCTATTCCCGGATGGTTCCAAGAGGTCATTGGTGTGATCTTAACTCAGTTAAGGTCGTCTTGATTGTAGCTACTCATTTTGTAACTGCTCGGTATGATCTCTGCTGCTTGCACGTTCATTTATACGATGTACCTCTGATTTCTCATATCTCTGACTTATATGGTATCTTTGAGTTGTGTTTACTGATCCGATCGCACGCAATTAAAAAGAAAGATGTTCTCGGTGGAATTTTTATCAGGAACAGTGAATAACTTGGTGATTCGAAATGCAACCTGAGCCAACAAACAGCGCCACACTCTAAATGAGTAGCAGTGATAAGCCAGTGGGAACGTAATTATGATAGAAATATTCTCTTGGTAGCAGCCCTTTTAACATCTCTCCTCTACTCAGTGATCATGAGAATGCAGTCGCAATTTCACCTGCATAGGTTCATCCTGAGTTCGACTGCTACTAGTCCATCCGGGTATGCAAACGTTTGGAGCATTTGGAAGGACGTTTGGTTAAAAGGCTCCAGTCCTCGATTGAAGTTTAAAGCGCCTCACGAAAAACCAAGCAGCAGAAATGGGTCGTGTTCACAAAATACAGTGCGCAGATGATTTACATGTCGCACCAACTGACTTGGTATAAACGCATGATTGACAGCACCTTGGTGAAAGTTATACTGTGGATCCACAACTGTGTTTCTAGCTGGATGGATATCATCAGCAGGTAGGCTGGCTTACCAAACTTATATGGCACTTCGGGATGTGGTATTGCTCCTTAGTTTAGTAGGAAAATCTTGATTATTTCAAGTATAGTTCTTCCTCTGAGTCCTAATAATGCTCTCTTGGAAGTATCTACAAAACGTTCCACATGACCGTTGGATTGGAAGGAATGGCGTTGTCCGGATGTGCCGGATACCGTTCTGCTGACAGAGTGGAAAGTTCTGTTTACGTGAATTCACTACCGCTTTTGGACAGTTTTCTGGACTCCAAAACGGCTGATCACATTCTTCAGTTTTAGAGCAGTGATGCGTTTCATGTGAGTTGCCTTCGCCCTTTTACTATAGGCATATACTAGAATTGGATGATGCTATCCAATGACATAAACCATGAGCACAGTTCCTGACGGGACTTGGACGATGACTAACTTTCAGAACACGCGTAAACGGGTTCCTTCAGCTCTTTACCCATACTGGGCCAACAAACCTAGCTGTGGATTAGGACATTCGTACAATTAATCAGAGGACGCCCTAAATGAAATTGTGTAGTGAGTACGTGTTGTAGTTCACAGGGCACAACTACGCATCCATCAGCTTCGGAAAATGTGTACTTCTGACTGTGTTGCAACTTCTATGTCCTTGATTTCATGCTCCTCCACTATGATATATCAAAAGGCACGATAGCGTGAGACATCTATTTATAGAGATGAGAGTATATTATTGTTATTATTATTATTATTTCAGAATGTTCCACAAGGTCATGCCAGGATCTTCGTGGCGAGCCGAGAAACGCCGAACCATAGATCTTGGTTGGTTGACATTCTGGCCGATCCTGGCCCCTCTTCGTTCGCCCCGTAACCCGCTCGTTATCCGTATAATCATGTGGTTTTCGGTTATTAAGAGAGGTGAGATGGCTCAGTGGTTAGGGCGCGAATTTACTGACCGGAAGGTCCGTGGTTCGTCTGCCTCTCGACTCCCCCTGTCTAGGCTTGGGCGACCTGCCAGTATCTCACCCCTCGTGCTTCCTTCGGCTTGCACGGCAACTAGGCACCGGAAGAATGTTACAGTTGAACGATTTTCTCTTATTTATAATTTAGGCTGGCCGCTGGACAGAAAGCGAGGACCGACTTTGGTAGAACGGGTGAAGTTGATTATCAAGACAAGTTGGCGGTCAGCATGTGTGGTAGAAATGGTTCGCATAAAGCAGGGGGCCATCCGTCGTAGTCCCACTCACCGTGGCAAAAAGAACAAGAATCCTCGAACTACAATGGTTTACATAGCGTAAACCACTTTTCACGATCGGATTACTGTTTTTTTCAGGTTGACTGTGCTGAGAATTTATCAGTCTTGGTAGGGCGTCAGCTTCACCTATGGCAGCCTAAACCAGCGTTGCAAAACGTTGGCCGCTTAAGCTGCGGCATCCTTTATCATTATCAGCTGTAAAAACCGTGTACTTTCCGTACAGTGGTTATAGCTGCCACGGCTTCATACACCGATAATTTGGTGAGGTGGAGTAGATAACTAGTTTTGGAGGTGGTAGCTGATATGATTGGTGCGCAAATGTAGCAGTTCCAATGGACCTTTCTTTGGGGAATCGGAAGGAGTGCTGTGCACTGAAGGCAACAGCCTGGATGTACGAGCGCCACCAGGTCGTCTAACAATGTCTGTAACCACTGATTTGCCTTTTCTCGCAGTTCCTAACCAGGAAGATCGCAAGGTTCAGCGCCATCATCATCATCGACAGCATGACATCGATGTATAACACCGATGCTTTGCTGCCGTACAACCATGAAGCACTGACCAGCGCAACTGAGTATCCTGGTGCCAGGTCATTTTTTGGCCTTCCCTGACTCGCTTTCACTCTTCACTTGACTTTGCGAAAAGCGCTCTTCAAGGAAGTCGGTCGACTGGCGTACGGAGCACGTGATCAAGCCAGCGCAATCTGTGTGGTGTGATCAGTCCATCACAGAAAACTGGACCTTGATGTGGTGTTACCTTATGTGTCCCTCTTTGACCCATTGTGTCCTTGCAGCACCCATAGAGTCTCTCATTGGTCGTTGGTCAGAAGTCTGACCAACAGACTCTCCTGGCCCATCAGGTTGGGGTTTGGAACGTGTGGCGAGTTGTTCTATGGAAGTGGTAATGCACTTCCTTCTTCCGCTAAGCACCGCTGCACTGCGGTCGGGGTTTTGAGTCAAAGACCTCCCCCAGTACGACCGTCACAGTCACAACTAACAATACTCTCATGCCATGTCGGCCGTCACGTGGTTTAATCGGCCGGGTCGCCTCACTTGCTGCGTACAATAGGGCGGGTAAGCGGAACGGGCTACCGCTGACACCCCTCTTACACATACCCCCTGTTCTACACTACCCCACTTTGTATGCCCTATCCACAAGTCCAAACACTAGGACTGGCCGCTTTCTCGCCATGCATCATGCTCAGCCGCAGCTTCTGTACGTCCGACTTCAGTAACAACCCTAAACAATCTGAAGTCTGTTTTCAACCCCAGAAAGCCGGTCTACTTAGCTGCGTTTAATCGTCGCACACTAAAGCGAGCAAGGCAAAAAGCGGTTCTTTCTTGTACGCTGGATTCCCTCTGCATTGGTGGTCTCTATCTGTCTGAGTCAAGGCTACAGGACGCATGTTCTGCAATCGAACTGATTGCTCCCTCGCTGTTTTCCAGATTCCGGCTGCCCACCCCTGATAATGCAGAAGCCGCTGCACCTGCATATATCGGGATGGGTGTTGCATTAAGCGACCGGGTGGAAGCATCCTTACTTGAATGAATACTTGTACACGGTCCGTTTGACAACGTCTGTGGAAGAATGTCGAGAAAATGGGCCCACCCCTCCCTATTTATTGTGTCTTATTACGACATATTTGACTAGCTCTGATTCTGTTAAGGATAATTTCTATGATGCTTTCGGAAGGAACAAAATGTGAATAGTTCCACTCCACACATTTCTAGAGCCTGTTGGATGCCTTTTTCATAGGCGACGTAAGTGCGTAGGTGATTCTGGTCTCGTTTAAGGTGTCTGCTTCTCAGGTTTGGATTGAGGTTGAGAGCCAACAACAAAAACTGGACATTTGAACTGAGCCTCTTGTAGTGAGTGAAGCTGGAATTTTTCAGACTCTACGACTCACACCTTCGAAAGTAACATACTCGTCCGAATCATGCTTGATATCGTGCAACAGTTATACCGAACGTTGGACAGCAAAAGTTACCCACCGAAGTTGGTTTAACGTACCTTTGGAGTTCCATTCCTACAGCTGCTGGGGAATGATGATATTCACAAAACGTTTCTGTCCAACACTACCAAGTTTTGAAGCATGATTTGAGAATGCCGTGCGTCGTCTCAACTTATACACGCAGTCAGAAAGTTATCTTCCCAATCTCTATACCATGTACCGAATTCCCAGATTCTGACGCAGGTAAATTCTAACATTTCAACTGTCACATCAACAGAGGACACTGACTCACCTGTGGGATTTGTTGATGACATCTGGAGCGTGGGGCTGTATCAGAAACTCGCTGGGCCGCAAAATGTGCATGTTGCTCCTGAGTTGCTTTCTACCGCTGAAATCATCTTTGGGTTCACGCTGGGACCTCATTACTATTTGTTATATCTCTTAAGGTTCTATGTTTATCGGTCAGGTCGCAAGCAAGTAATAAGGTGTTGGGAGACTGAATAACGTGCTGATTCGAAATGCAATGTGGGCCAACAAAAGGCACCGCCCCCCAAATGAGCAGCAACGATAAGCTATAGTAGGAAAGGGGCTGTTACTAGAAACCCAATCAGAATAAAAGTGTTTGATCGGGGGCAGCCCTCCTAACACTGCATCCCATACTAGCTCCTCTTTCCGTAGTTCCTAAATGCATAAAATTTTGCTGATATCTTATCCACTCTATTACCAACCCTTTCCGTGACGATGACTATTCAGACACCTGTTTTCCCGCCACGCATACCTCCGTCGCTACTGAAACTCCATGTTTATCTCCTTCAGAACCGGCTAGCGTTGTAGTTTTTAAATTTGCCACATTTGGTTGATAACTCTCGAATAGCTCTCGGGACTTCGTTTAACAAATGTTGTTAGGGTATTGGACGAGTTGCCTTGGTAATAAAAATGCCCTGATCCGTACATTTTACCCGAAGAAACAAAACAGTAGCATAAATCCGTTCTGCGAGTTTGGTACGATACCATACGTTGACTGTCCGTGTCAGTACATACTTGTTCGTCTCTTGCACCGCAGCTTGACTTCGTATTTCGTTTTTTCTTCCACTTCAGCTCTTTTGCGAACAGAGGTGACCAGTTCGGCCTTGTACTCTCTTCCATTCGAACTACACGGCTAAATTTCACTCATCAGTTTCAAAACGTCATCAGGCAGAATGGATGTACAAACTTTGCGAGCTATGTTTCGAAGGTATTTTCTATGAGTCCTTTTGTCATTAGATTGTTTAAGGGCCGACACCGACAATAGTGGCCAAATAAATGCACAGGAATTGCAGCGTGCGTTGTCAAACGGTAAGTCCTACACCAACCCTCAGTTTCCGCTTTCATCCATCAATCTAAGCTTTAGCAGGCAAAATTTGAGACATGTAACGACCTTAGCCTAGAGTAGCGTGCTTTTTAGCAGCGCGTACGATTTTGAGGCAAGGCATTACGCCTTGTTCGTCTTCGGTCATGTCATTTTCATGTGGTTGCGACTGCAACACTTGGTACCCATTTGTCGAGCTTGTGTAAAACCTCATGAAGAAGTCTCCCAGCACTCCTGTGTGGAATTATAAGGACCGTTCCGTTGCGCGTGATTGCCATTGAACCCGAAGGAAGGGAGTAATTCGGGATAGTGCCAGACCGACAGCAGCGTTGTGGAAGCCTATTTTGAGTTTGAACTATGAACCTCTTGATCAGTGCCCTCACACTCTAGCCGTTAAGGTATTCTGAGTTCGAATTCCGCGTGTAGCGAGTTTGCAAACCAGCTGTAAGGATTCCCTCAACTGTTCGTCCCACAGCAAGGGATAAAAACCCTGATCAGGTAGTTTTGGCCAAGACTACACTAGCTATCCTAGGATTTTCTTGCCTCATCAAAGATCGAGCCATCCGGTTCACACTCGTCTAATCGTACTTTTTGGAACGAATGGATTGTAGTCGACCTTTTAGTGCACGCTAGTGATGTGGATTACCGAGCGGATGTTTGTGAATGTGAAACAGTCATCCTCACGCTCGTACTAATTGAAGGCGAGTTGTGATTCTGTGATATGGATATGACGTCCTTAGTCCCGACCTAAAGCTGCCACCTTGACGTGGTGGTCGGGCTTCAGTGCTGCAATGATCCCGCGGGCTACACTGGCTGGAACTTCGTTCCACAAGGTACAATCATGCCATGAAGGCCAAAGGGGGCAGCGAGACCCCGTACTACGAGTAATCGTGCTACGAGGCGGTCTGGAGGTAAAGTCGTAAGGAGTGCGAAGGCAGTCAGGTGTTCCTCCAGGCGACCAGCACGACCATATTTATGGAAGCAGCGATGCTGCCTTCCCCCGAGGAAGGACGAGTTAGAAAAGGTAGCCCCAAAAACCGCACACTCCGATCGCCCAACGGTTGACCGTGACCGCCGGCGCATTATCCAATACGCTCGAAATACTTTTAAAACCAAAGAGCCGGGTGCTGCTCAAAAGGCACCTGCTGTGCGCAGCCGCATCAGGAATGAGGCAGTAATGCCTTATTCCCTGCGCCCTCGG